TAGTTCTTGTTGCCACACTGTATAGATGTTATCTTGTGTAGTCTTTCTGTGTGCGTGCCGCTGCTATTCTTTACTACGTAGTAAACGTAGACACGTAGTAAAGAATAGCAGCAGCACGCACACAGAAAGACTACCCAAGATAACACCTATACAGTGTGGTAACAAGAACTAGCCGCTGCAGCACTTTAAACATAGGGCGAATAACCCTAACAATTTTAAAATTTTGGAAAGAATTTTAAAGGTGTTTAAAGTTAGAACTAAAGATTTTATTATAGTGCTATTACAACAAAGTCAAAATTAACGTGTGTAGGATAAAATAATCTACAAACCAGACAGTTATCAACGAAGTAGAAGTTGATAATAACAAGGAAAGTGTTTTTAAATGTTAATTTTTGAGCTGGGTGCAGTGTGACAGCGACGTGAGTGTTATACACCTGATGATGGCCGTCTGAGGCCAAAACATGTAGTGTAGGGGAACAAGATCAAAGACACAAAATGTATTGTTTGCACTTGAGACGGAGTTTGTATCATTATATCATTTATATAATAGTATACTACAAAAAAGAAAAAAGTACTGTATTCATTTGTTTTGTTATTAGTGAGAACATGATGAAATAGTTCAGGTTTTTTCGCTCTAATTTCTGCCATTGTTACTCTCATATGTACCACAGTTCTTTTCCTTTCTTACTGTCTAATTTTCCTTAGAGTCTTTAAACCTTCACATTAGCATTTCATTATCCATCTGTGAAACAAAGATAATTGGATATGTTGATTTTGCGTGTTAATTTGTTTTGTAGGTAGCTGTTGATTATGTAGGAACTAATGAGTCATCACGGAACAGCTACAGTGACAAGAAACTCTGTATGAAGAAACCGGCAGGAAATCGAATAGATTATATCATGTACAAGTGTAGACGAGGAATTGAGGTAAATTTATTTTTAATTACTGGAATTGTAGGACATGTCTATTATGTATCCTCCATCTTGGCACATAATATTTAATTTCTTGCTTGTTTATAGGTGCAGTGTCTAAAATATCAGTTTCCCTTGCCTGAACGAGTTCCTAAACAAAATTTCAGTTTCTCAGACCATGAAGCATTGCAGGTATCTTTCAGGGTCATCAGAACATCTAATGGTAAATATTTTGCATTCACATTAAAATGTTCTTCGTGGAGTTTTAAATGAGATAGTAATTTGATTTTGTACTTTATAATCAGTAAATTATACAACCAAAAAGGAGCAGTTAAGGTAACAGTACATAAAAGGACAACCAAGAAAGTACCTTGGCCATAATTTAATCTTATAATCAATACTAAAAGATACGAGTAAAATAAAATATTCCAAATATTCATTAACTCTACAATGAGGCCATCAAGAAGCAACTGTCCTTCTGCAGATGCAATATACCAGGGCCCTATTATTATCCCATGTGTGATGAATGAATGAATGACTGACTGCATAAGGGGTGGGCCATAATAACTCCATGTCATTCAACTCACAAATGCATAATTGTAGTACCAGATCTATCTGTGATCTGCATTATCCGCAAACTAGTCTAACACAATTCCAAAAAGGAATATGTTACATGGGGGTAAAGATATATCTATGTCTAATGACTTGAAAATTTTTAAAATTCAGTTGACAGCATTTTTATTGCAAAACTCTTTTTATACATGTGATGAATTCTTTAGTAACAAATTTGCCTAGAAATAAGGATAATAATAAAAACAATTTTAATATTGCATAATTTTATGTATAGTGATGTAAGACTGTAAATTTAACATGTTTTTTTTTATCATGATTATAAGCTGTACATATATATTTATAATTGTATTGTGCTATATTAACTATGTGACTGGTTCTATATCTATGTATATGGATTTATGGAATATACAATAAATGAATGAATGAATGGACTGTAAATTGAGTTGTAGAATTTGTGTTTGTACCATACAGAGAATTTGTCTTTCCAGGCCTCATAAATATGGAGTTTTTAATATTTTAATGTTTTGTCGTAGCTCTCACAGATGGTTTATGCTGTGCTTGGTCTGTACAGCCTATCTTATGTTGGGGCAGGTGTCTGGAGATAGGGACTAGCTCTGTCAATTCGGCCCAACTGAGTAGGTTTTACCTGAAGACAAAGACAGAATTCAGTATCTGAAACTTTGTGTTATTAAATAAAAACAGGATGATGGATAATGTCCAGAAACATACTCTTTGTATTAATGTACCATCATAACAAATTTTCAGATCTTAATTCAAATAAAATATCAATATTAAATAAAGAATTAATTAATTTAATCCCTGTGGTACCTATCAAACTATAAAGTGTCACATTCCAGAAGACATAATTAGTGTTGATGTCTGTATATATCTAGAAATATGGCAGATGTAAAGTTCACATTCCTGACAGTGTATTTCTGTTTCAAGCATCTGAAGATGCACTAGAAAATAAAGAAGAATACATGAAAGCACTGAAGGAGAGTCGTGCTGTATGTGATGCAGCACTAGGAAGGCTACACCAAGATAAACGGTCCTATTGGATCTACTCGGCTGCATTCTTCCTCACACTGCTGTGCACAATTGGTTTGGAGGCTCCTCTAAGCTGCTTCAAGACATACAACATTATACGTGTTGTTGTTACCATTCTGCTCTGTTTTACAATATTCATGGCTACTATATGGAATCGTATGGAAGTGAATGCAATTCTTACAGGGAAATTAGGAATTGAAGTTGTTCATTCAAACTTGGAAGATTGTAATTCAGATGAAAGGTAAAATAGTTGCTCATGATATGTGTAATTTGGCCATGTGTTATATTCTGGCAACAGTGTAAATGACTTACTCTTATACCATTCTAAAGGTTATAATTCATATCTTAAGAATGTGAATTGTTATTTAAGTAATTTCGGTACTTCTCGTGTATTTTGGCCCCACACAAAAACTGCCTTCATGCTAGTAGTACAAAACAGAAAGTGGTTTAAGGAAAAAGGTCTTGGAATTTTTCAATACTCTGAATCCTTGGGAGTCAACTGCATGTTGTTAAATGACCAAAATCAGGATTCACATACAAGAAAGTGACAGTGTAAGTTTTGTTGTGCATTATCCTTGGACAGTAATGTTCAGTTAGCTTTCCACATCTTTTGCATTTCTCTTTTACACAGTATATCGTCACATTTCAGAGACGTGCTTCAACATGATGCTTGTGAGGATATGATACTGTTATAATCCACACAGAGCAATTAATTACAGATAAACATCTTCCTTTCTAGTCTGAGACATATTGAGACCCATTATAGATATTGCAAATCACAATCCTTCCATAATTTCAAATGTCTTCCTAAACTTTTTCCCCTTATTTGATATTTTAAAAAATTTATTTTAAATTTTGCCATGTTCTTTCCAGTTTCTTTTGTATTCTATAAATTCTGTTATTATTTCATTTCTTTTATGGTCAGAAAAGGCATACCTGGCAGTCCTCATGAAACGTATTTCTGCTGATATGACTCATCAGTTTGTCTTATTGCCCAGAGGCTTAAAGGTAATAACCCTACCGTTGGACTACTAGTCTTTGGTTTCAGTTAGTGGGATTTTCAATTTCTTCCAGTAAATATATTATTATGAATATGAAGGCCAAAATATGTTTGTGTGTCAGCATACATTGGTTGTTGAATTACTTAAAGCCTGAAAACTTTTGCATATTTTTATACTTCTGTCACATTTATAAATATCATTCCACATGAAATAGATCCTTAAAATGATGTAAAATCAACATTTGCACCTTGAACCATTAGACTATATTCTGGAGTTCACATTAGTGAAACAAATTAAATGCATAGTGAGAAGGAAAGCATTGCTATATATTTGTGTTGCTTACAGTATTTATTTATATTTTCCTGTGATATAACAATTAACTCGATTATTGTGAGAGACTTTGGTCTAGGGCTTATTGAGTCAGTTTGAATCATGCACTGGATATTTGCATTTTTCTCTACAATCTAATAACTTACTGTAGTCATTGTTCAAATTCATTGGTGTGTGGTGTTCCACACTCTCCCCCCTCCACTTCGAGACAAGCTATTGTAGTAGTACCACAACAAAACAATATTTTACATCAAAGATGATACTCGCATAACTTGCAGCTGGAAGGGAAAGAAACAGATCGAGCAGGAGACATGGTTGGATCATCTTTCCACAATGCCATCTGTAATATCACTTGATGTAGTTATCTTTGATTCACATTGATTGCTGTGGTACACCTCTCAGAGACCTGACAGCTAAAATTTATGTGTGGTTGAAGAATATGTTGTTGCTTGGCACATTGGTTCTTTTCTGGCATTGCTGTAAAGGTAATATAAATCCTGGCAAGAAATTAATTGCACATGTTAATTGCAACCTGGAATTTAAAAAACAAAATATTTGTTTAAAAATCATACTGTTATAACAACAAATTCAGGACTCTGTTACAAATGTACACCAGGCAAAGAGTGTACCCCAAGCTGCTGATTTAGCATGTTTAGATTAGAACCTAGAAAAACATGTTGCAGAATGACCTGATGCTTCCACAGAATTTTGTTACTGGGTCTTTCCTGTATGGAGAAGAAAGAAAACTGGGCTGCAGAATTTAGGCTTCTTTACCTTTATTCAGAATCAGTCTGATATAAGAAGTGAAATATATAATGTAATGTGATATTTTGATAACATTATAATCAGGTTTTGTGATTATCTATGTTTCTTACAAAATATATCTTCAGTTTAAGTAGTTATTGCATTCTACAGACATAGTACATAGGAAACAGTTATAATTATGTTAGAAATAGTTATTGTATTTTATCAGTAATTTAAAGAACTTACCAGGGACAGGGATTTTCAAGTTTCCTAGTAAGATAGCTTACTTCAGTATGTGTAAGGATAGAGAAGTGCATTAGAGGAGTCAATTTTGAGAGACAGCAATGAAGCTGAAGTTCAATGTAATCAGGATGACAATAATTTTAAAACAGAATATGAATGCTCCAGAAAATGGGAAATATCCCACAATGCACAATTAGTATTTTTTAAATAGAGGCTACTTATCACAGTGGTATGTCTTAGTTGCTGTATCAGTCTGAAGTGACAAATGTAGGCTGCAGAAACATTCAAGTTGACTCTCGTGTAATACAGTAGATATAATCAGAAAATCTGAATTATTTGGGCCAGTGGTAAAAGTGTTCAATCCAGGCATGTTAAAGTGAAACAACTTAGTGACAAAAATTTTGATATTAGAACATAAACTGTATAGGAAGAATAATGTAAGAGAGTCATGTGAATTGTGGTTATAAAATTGAAAATTATGAACAGTTTTAGTGTACCATTGATGTATACTTCCAGAATTTTATTTACACAAATAGAAGCAATTTCATAGCTATACAAAGGAGTTATACTTGTTGAAAAATTTTGTGTAAAATATTATTTAAAAATTAGTTTCCCTAATATTTTGTTTTGAAGAAATCAGTTACAAACTGTTTTAAAAATCTTTTGAAGGCTAGTGTTTTTGTACTGTAACAACTATGACTATAAAATCTTTTATATTGCTCATACTTAAAAAAAGTTTCCAAATCCAGTAAATATGTTTATAATAGAACCAAAAATTGCTCATATATATATATATATACAGTATATATGTTGTTGGCTGATATATGGCACACATTTTATTAATAGCTCAACTTTCTTGTGAATTTCATACATATTCTACGTTAGTACTACCGAAAACTGTTATGTATGTTGTATGACATTCAGTCTGAAATACAGCTGACCCTCAAGTCATCTGGCTTTGATTTATCAAAGTGTGGATTAACAGTGGCTCCAAGCAAGCTGTCTGAAGCAGTAGTGACTTGTATTCAGGGGGTGCTCAGTTTGAATCTTGGCCATGACACCAACTACCCTGACTTTTTTTTATCCGTTTTCCTCAATCCCTCAATGAAAATGTCTGAATAGTACCTTAAATCAGATAAAATGTTTTGTCTGTTATCCATGATTTGTTCTCCAGCCATTATGCTTGATGATCAAGGGTCAACTTTGTCTATGTGCAATTTACAGATGTATATACAACAGACTAGTTTTGCTTTTGTGTATAATGTGCCAAAATTGCTCTCGTCCTACTGCTCATTGTCTTAAAATTTGGAATTTGAGGTCTACAGGAATGTAACAGAACTGTCAACAAATATAGGGTCATTGAACTTTTACTTAATATCATTCCCAGCATTGTGCACTACTGTTTGAATAATATTTCCTGCTCAACTGTAAGAAATTAAAATTGAAATAAAAATTTTGAACAAATGTACTTTGCATATTTATACATAATTTACCCTCATGTCAAGTGTGGCATTTGTTATCTAGGGATTGTCAGTGGAGACAGCCTTCAGATGTGGATGGTCTCTGTAAATACAGTATTTTGAATAAGCAGTCAACTGACAGTTGGATGGAGCTAACAAAAATAAGCATATTAGTTCTGTTCTTGCACCTTTGCAGAGTGTGAATTTGGGCAGTGTTGCCAATATGTTGGTTGTTCATGCTGCCTCTAAAGAGTGGGAGTAGGATCATTGTCTTATGTTTATATAGCCTTCAAAGAGGAAGGCATCATGTGCCTCTGAAACATCAGCAACACTGCCCAAATCCACACAGTGTGAACACTCAAGAAGATAATCAATATCAACACTGAATGAATGCAGAAGCCTAAAATCAATAGAAACAAGTACAGAAAGTTACAAAGGACACTAGACTTGACAGATATTTTAGTGTGACAAAAGCAATGGAAAGAGGACAAAAGATTTGGAATTTCAGACACCAGGAGTCTCTACAGGATGTATTTATTGAAATCAGTAGAAAGAGAGTTAATGAAGTATAATTTAGATTCAATGGGAGTACAGATGGGTAGACTTCAGATGTTGCATACAAAAGTAGAAACATCAAAGAAAGAACAATAAGACTGAAAGGTAGACACAACAGAAGCAGAACTAAACCAACAGACAATTTTACATTTTATATGCTAAAGGTAATGCTAATCATTACTTTTTCATGCATTAATGAATCAGAATTTGCACTCTTCATTATTAGATAACCAAAGATGCAACAAAAATTAGATACGTATTTAGCAACTACATATATCAAGGAGGATACAACCAGGAATGATATATAAGGAGATCAAAGAGGGGGAGATGAGAGATACCAGATTTCAGCCACAAAACCTCAAGGGAATAGACCACCTGGGAAACATAAAATACAATCAACTCTCGATTATCCGGGGG